TTTCTGTTTAGATGTTATTTTAATGGATACAATTTATTTAAGTAAATGGTCTGTTTTTAATTAAACAGTTTTTATTACATTTACCAGCTTGAATGTTCGAGAAATTTCCTAGAAAATATGCTTTCTCCGTCAGGGATCGAACCTGTGTCCTATACGGAAAAAAATCTCTTTTTGTCCTCTAACGGACTTTATCAAGGCAACTGTAAGGATTTTATTTTGACACAAGTGTTTATTAACATAGGTCAAAATATCGTTAGTGATTCAAAATGTTTAACTTCAGAAACCCTCATCAATATTCATAAGGGATACCGTCATTCATTTACGCCAGCCTGTCAGGTAAGTGACTTGCGTAAATGAATGATGGAACAGGATTGATGCTTAGCAAAGGGAGAAAACTGCTAAGAACCACAAGCGATAGAAAATTGCGGAGAGCCATTACCAACTGAAATGGATGCAAAACAGAACAAGATGTTGGCCATGTATACACTTCGTTCCCAAGCCAATATACATGACCATAGTTTTTTTTTACTTTCCTTTCATAGGCATTAAATAATATCACTTAGTACCTTCCATAGTTTACCTCCCACGGTTAGTGTTGAGAGGTTCACACCTTTTTATACAAATGGACTCACCCAGTGTATACTTATACTACTGCCAGTGAATACCCGAGCAAGACCGAAGAGTCGAGTCGAGTCGAGTCGAGTCGAGTCGAGTCGAGTCCAGTCCAGTCCAGTCCAGTCCAGTCCAGAGTGACAGAGTAAAAGGTTGTCGGTAACCGGAAGAGTGAGAGTGAGGTAACAGTGTTGTAGGAGTCACAGTGAGCGACCACCTAGACTCAGTAAGAAGTCATACAGCGATACTTCAATACCAAAGACTGTATATATATATTTTGCTACTAACCCGTATTCCTGGAACTACTAACCTGCTTTACCAGTTTGTATTATTACCTTAATACATTATTTTCATATACAGTGTAACCCGGATATAAGAGAGTTGTCGGGACCGGAGAAGAAGTCTCTTATATCCGGGTTTCTATATCCGGGTTTGGTCTATTTTGTTTAGGTAAGTATGGGAACACTTTGGGACCAGAGAAAATCTCTCTTATATCCGGGTTTCTCTTATATCCGGGTCTCTTATATCCGGGTTACACTGTATTCATTCCTGGCGTTTGTTATTTATTGGTACCGGATTTCAACCCCGGAATCCACAACAGTTAGCATAATATTTATGTTAATTTTCAAAACCGAGCTTGGGTATGGCGCAAGGCAAAAGAATAGAGCACCCAGTGATGATCGAAGCCTATCAGGTAAGTGAAGGAGGCATGGTGCAGTAATGGATAGCGGCTCGGACTGAGGAATTGGAGAGCCGAATTCAAATTCTATTCGAATCCATTACATTCACTTACATCCTAATCTCTTTGGAAAAGATATGAATCCTCTTCTTCTCCCACCAGATTTGGGTAAATAGCAGGACAGACCGGGGTCTTTAGCCTTGGATAGCAACTGGTCTACCGCAGAAAGAAAATGGCAACCTACTGCGGGAAACAAATCTGCCTCGTCAGTCATGTATCGAAAGATACATGATCACCTAAGCGTGTATCACGTATGGCACATAGCTGACTGACTGCTATTTTAAAAGCAAAATCTTGTTCTATGTTTTGCATCCATTTCAGGCGGTAATGGCTCTCTTTCTTAGCAGTTTTCTCCCTTTGTTAAGCATCAATCCCGTTCCGTCATTCATTTACGCAAGCCTATTAGATAAGTGACTCGCTGTCTTTCCCTATCACTCTTCCCTTCAATATGCCCCGTGAGTGTTAAATTTTCCAAGCCTCCTTCCTCATTATGTGTCCAAGGAAATTTTCTTCTTTTCCTGACTTTGGATAGAAGTGTTCTTTTTGTTGCCATTTTCTTTATAACGTCCTCGTTGCTTACTCGTTCCGTTAATAGAATTCTCAGTATCCTTCTGTAGAACCACATTTCTGTTCTTTCTTGATTTTTCCTCGTCCTTGGGAATATTGCTCAACATTCACTGTTATATAAGGGAATGGATGCTACATTGGAATCCAACACAATATTCTAACGAATTTTTTTTCTGTTTCTCAGCGCCTTGCTGAGTTTTTGGAATGCATCTTTCGCTAGTCCAATGTGTGTCCGGATCCCGGTGTCGGATTTTCCATCCTCCCTTCCAAGGTATTTAAACTTTTGCACCTGTTTGATGTTTATATCTCCAATTCGTAACTCGCATCTCGAGGTTTTATCTTGCTAATGACAATACATTCTGTCTTCTTGCAATTGATGGGTAGTCATTTTTTCCTCGCTTACATTTACCACTCTGGCGAGGACGTCGTGTAGTCTTCTTTTCGGGTCGGCCATCAATGCAGATTGGTCATTATCTATCTCCCTTTGATCACTATTTCTTTTTTCCTTTTTATCTATCTATCTATCTATCTATCTATCTATCTATCTATCTATCTATCTATCTATCTATCTATCTATCTATCTAATTCTGATCATTATCTGTCTATCTGTTTGTCTATCTATCAATCTATCTGATTCTGATCAGTATCTATCTATCTATCTATCTATCTATCTATCTATCTATCTATCTATCAGAAAAAAAAAAGTGTTTGTATTGTCAATAGCGAAATAAATTCAACGCGATAAGACAGCGCAAAACAAAGTTTTTTCGCTTTCTTGCTGTGCACACGACACCGATCATCTTGTTCAGATCATATCCAGCTCGCGAACTGATTTTTGACCGGCTCCTTAGTAAATTTTAGGATTCTATGCTAATCTTGAGCGCCCACAATTTCTCTTCTTCTGAGTGTTTCACACAACCCCGCTAACGGATCACATATGGCTTCTTGTTGCACTAGCTTTCAAATTCTGTTTTCACTTAACCATTTTGTTTAAAGTTCGTATTTTCTGGATTTTAAATGAAAACTTTTGAAAATTTGAAAAATAATTATGTGAAAATTTCATTGTCGGTTTAGATATCTAGGAAAAATAGGCGTCAGTTTAAATTGACGCCAGGAGAAAATAGGTTTTAATGACGAGAATATGAATTTAACTTAGAATATGGGGTTTAATATGGTTCTATAACGAGATGGATTTAAATGGATGATATCCATGTCTTCAATGTTTTCTTTTGAGGCATACATATTTGGTTCATTGTCGACACGATTTAATGTGCAGAGAGAAAAAGGTCGTTGACTCTCGAATTAGAAAGAGGGGGAAACATACGTGACAGATTAACCGATTTTTGGAATTGATTTTTGAACAAGAATGGTAACAGCGAATCAGGTTAAGAATAGTCAGAATAAACTTTACGTTTATTTGGATTATTTTTGCCCGAACATTGTTGTTATTAATGGATTATTTTCAGATGCGATTATCACTCCAGTATGTACGGTTACGATCTGAAAGATTATTGTTAATCAAAGAACTTCAACTGCTTTTTCTTTCTTTTTTTTTCTTTTGCTTAATTTGCATTTTTGGATATTAAGCACAACATTAAGGTTTCAGCGAACAAAAACGGGAACTGAAATCGTTAAAGAAATAAAATGTCTTCCAAATGAGCTTCTTTATTTCTTGATGAAATGATTCCGAGTATCTTAGGAAACACGTCACTTTTTCAGATCTTTTGAACAGGAGAAGAGGTTCATCCCTTGTTTTCTGTTTAGGGCTGTGTTTCTGGTCTTTTCTAAAGCCTACTTCAAATATATACACCAAATGTCTCCGCCTGAACTCTGAAATTTTATTCACTAATTAAATCTTGACCTCTTCATACACCTCCCTGATTTTTGTACAGGAGTAGAGGTTTATTCCTTGTTTCCTGCTTAGGATTTGGTTTACAGTTCTTTCATCTTCTGAGATCTCTGCCTGAAATCTGAAATTTTATTCAGTAACTAGCAGCATGGCCCGGCGTTACCAGTGCTTGATTCAAATATCGTACGACTCATACAGCAGTCGCTATCACTTGACTTAAAATATTTTTGCTCTTCCTTGCCTTTAAAGGAGTGCCCTTTGCCGTGATGATGTTGCTACATGACTTACTTCTTGCCTATCTCACACTGCGAATTTTTTCTAAGCTCTATACTAAACATTAAATCTGTTACGAAAAAGAACTAAAACAAATGAACACAAAACGATCAGCTTTAAAAAAGGACTCGTAACTGGAAAAAGCGAATGAAAAAAGAATGTTAACAACAAATACTTTTTCACACCCAACCCAGTTCTGCGGAATCAGAATCAACGTTGATTTTAAGCAAGCGAATGAGCCAATTGGAGTAAAGTGCTATGCAGATTTAATTTTTCCCCACTTGTGACGAATGCAGCTATCGATTTTTTTTGCATGCTAGCATGCTAGTTAACATTCGTGTCAGTCAGCTGTTGGCTCTCACGCTGGCCAATAGAATCTTCCTGCCTATTCGTGGCAGCCAGCTATTGGCTCTCACTCTGGCCAGTAGGAAATGGCCGCAAACTACATGAAAACTGTCGTAGAAGCATGAAAAAAATCGTTTATTTCCACTATCGATGGGAGTTGGGAAATGCAAAGTCGGTCTTGGCCTTCCCGCTAACTTGGAGTATGTGCATGTAAATTTTGGTGCAAATCCGTCGAAAATTCCGGCCGTGCATTCGTTACACACACACACACACACACACACACACACACACACACACACACACACACACACACACACACACACATCCTGCCTTTTATAGATAGAGATTATCCTTTTTTCCTTTCCCAATAGATAGGGTTGCATATCGTCCGGTTCACATTCCTCCCTGGTGTCTTGATCAGGTGTAGAGGTTCATCCTTTGTTTCCTGTTTAGGATTGGATTTCTGTTTCCTTATAAAGTCTACTTCAACTCTATATTCCTAACATTTTTATCTGAAAATTTTATTCATTAATTAATCCTTGTCCTTTTCAAGTCTAAAATTAATTGTCTATTTTTCCTTTTATCTTGACCTTACACAAATACAACTTCATGGGCTTACGGCCACATCACGTTAAAATACCGGTTCCCTTACGATCACCGAAGTTAAGCAACGTCAAGCCTGGTCAGTAGGTAACCGCTTGGGAACACCAGGTGCTGTAAGTTTAGATGTTTGGGTGGTGTAATCTTTAATGGCTCGGAATTGTTAATCGGAGAGCTGAGTTCTAATTCCACTTGGGTCCGTTATATTTAATTACTCGCAAATAACCTCGGGGAAGATGTGAATCCACCTCTTCTCCCCTCAGCTATGGGTTAAATAGTAAGACGTATCAATGAACTATTATTATTTCCAAAATTAAAATAAAATTGTATACAAAATATTTAGATTTCGGCATTAAATAACCTGCAAATGGTTGATATGCCGCTAAACAAAAACAACATAAAAAACAAGCAGACAACAATTTCACACAGTAACCCTCTACCTTGAGTTGCTCTTGGGCCTTATGTTGGGTGAATATATACAAAAATAATCGTTTCCGTTTTTTTTGGCTTACGTTTCTTTATTTTTATTTTTTTTATTTATCAATGACCTTTTTTTGTTGTTTTAACCTTTTCACCTCTCCCCGCACATTCTCATCACTCATCTATTCTCCGTCATCTTTGAAAGCCTCGAACGCTTCCTCCGGACGCGCGAAATCTTTCTTTTTTTATCAATCAGAAGAAGCCGTCTTCTTTGCCCATGCAGCACGTCACACGGACGCAGAGTTATCTATAAATCTCACCTTCCCGTCAAGACAAAGATAGAAGAATACACTGGCCGTACTGACATTCAGTCTCGCGACATTATTCATGCACCTCGAAGCCATTTTGTCTATGCAGGGGAATTGCGTTGTCATTAGGGAGAGTCAAAAGGTGAAGCACTGGGGAAATGGCCTCATTCGGTTCGAACTGATTAATCCGTAAAGTTCTTCAGAATTCCCTAAAAGTATTGACTGCTTATCAAGACATATTTAAATCTAGACTCTTATTCCCTTGTGTACAATATAAAAATCTCGCCTACTTGGTCGGATCGCGGCTGTTAACTAATGAAATTTCGGGGACAAGTCCAATGCTGTTGCTTAGTCATCGTAAGACTTTACAAATGTCTTTTATAAGTTAATTGTACCTGTCTATGGCCGTGTGAGTATTAAAGGGTGTTCTAATAACTTGGATCGGTTTTAAATGCGAATTAAGTTTAAGCGTTTGATAATGTTTTTTTTTTTCCTTTTCTTTCAGATTTAACAACTTAAGTCTTTGGCAATTTCTGCCATGGAAAGATTAACAATCAAACAATATGTTAAAAAGTTATCGAAGCCTATTAGGAAAATGGACGTTCAAACATAAATGCACTTCACGATTTTTTTGGTCAACATAATCGACCCACCAAGAGTGCAATTTGTAACGTTGTTGTGGAGAGGTTCAATTCCTGCGCGCGATGACGAATAGAGGGGTCTGGATTTTCAGCCACATTCTTGTGCACTGTAGCAATGTTTTCAGCTGAATAGCGTAAACGAGCATGCAATGGTGTTTTTCACATCTGCTACCGACCCACTTTGTTTGAATTTACAAACAATTTTTTCAATTGCACTCTTGAAACTTTAACACGTTGTTTGATTGCTAATCTTTCCAGGGTTGATATTGCCAAAAACTTAAGTTGTTAAATCTGAAAGAAAAAAATCATTAGACGCTTGAACTTAATCCACATTTAAAATCGGTTCAAGTTATTGGAACACCCTTTATAAAGTAGTGTCAGTTAAAAATAAATAAATAAAAAATAGTTATACTGTCACTTTCTTGTGTTCATTAAAATGAATGAATAAAAAATAATTATACTGTCACTTTCTCGTGTCCATTAAAAATTAATAAATAAAAATTAATTATACTATCAAAATAATTATAATAAAATAATTATAAGAATTATAATTATTAAAAAGACCTGTGAAAATTTTACGGTTTTTCTATTTGAATTTTCTGATGAATCTTAATTCTTTTATTAATGATTGAATAAGCTCATGGTAAGTTCTACGATAATAAAATATCCGTGGAGATTCCTCTATCACATCATTAAATATTTAAGCTTAACAACTTTAAAAATTTTTAGAAAAACTCGTGAAAGTTTCATGGTTTTCCTATTTGAATTTTCTGATGCATCTTAATTCTTCAGTTTAATGATTGAGTAAACTCATGGTGAGTTTTATGACAATAAAATATCCGTAGAAATTCCCCTATCACATCGTTACATATTTGAGTTTAATAGCTTTAACAAAATATTGCAATAACAATTACCCTATTATAATACTGCTTGTCCCTCTCTTCTCGGCCTTTAGGCTAAGATCAAAGTGTAATATCTGTTCTTATATAATCTCTCTCTCTCTCTCCACTTTCATTTTCACTTCTTTCTTATATGTGAAAATGATTGGATGAGCTCATGGCGAGTTCTACGACAATAAAATATCCGTAGAAATTCTCCTCTCACATCGTTATAGATTTGAGATTAACAACTTTAACAAAATATTGCAATAACAATCATCTTATTATAATTATGCTTGTCTCTCCTTTCTCAGCCTTTAGGTTAAGATCAAAGTGTAGTATCTGTCCTTATATAATCTCTCTCTCTCTCTCTCTCTCTCTCTCTCTCTCTCTCTTTGACTATGAGAGGAGTGACAAGTGTGACAAACGAGTTGAACAGTAGCCCCAAAGTGTGTTACTATTATTAATCTACGAAATTAAACAGATCTTCACTAACCTTGTGTTCAATCGTTTTCCTTTGGGTTATTATTAACATGAATTACGAGATGATACGAGCATTATAACACTTTTCTTTCTTTCTTTCTTTCTTTCTTTCTTTCTTTACGGAAATCAAGTAGTGTCTTCCCCCTTTTCCACGCGATATATATATATATATATATATATATATATATATATATATATATATATATATATTAAAAAAAAAGAAGAAGAGAGGTGCCGCAAACGTTTTTTAGTTGTAATGTGGATTTATTTAAAAAAAAAATTATGCTTTGTTTTAAATAATTGTACTACACGGGTTTCTGGTCTCGTGACCGTCTTCAGGTAAAAGCGGGGATTTCCACATATTATTAAAAATAATTAATTTTTTCTTTTGTTTTTCAATGTTTAGATACGTATGTGTGTGTATGTATGTGTACATGTGTATGTGTATACTGGTTCCATGTAGCTTGGAAAGTATGTGTGTATATGTGTGTGTATGTGTGTGTGTATACTGATTTCTTGTGGTGGGATGGTGTGTATGTGCGTATATGTGTGTATGCGTGTATATGTACAAATGAGTTTACTAATTCCTCGTAGTAAGACAATATATGTATGGAGGGGGAATATACGCACGCATATATACACGCATGCTGACAGAAACAGACAAAAATGGAAACAGATCTAAGAACACATAGGGGTCATTAAAACATTAAAAGATAAAATGCCGATAAGTAATTCATCATTTCTCTTGGATCAACCTTAATTGTTTTATGACCCTTCGCGCAGAACTCTTCACTGCCAGTTCAAGAAAGACATTCGGATTACTAACACAAAAACAGAAAATGTCTCATATTGAGAATATTTAACATTGAAAAACATAAGGAAAAAATTAATTATTTTTAATAATATGTGGAAATCTCCGCTTTTACCTGAAGACGGTCACGAGACCAGAAACGCGTGTAGTACAATTATATAAAAACAAAGCATAATATTTTTTCTAAATAAATCCACATTACAACCAAAAACGTTTGCGGCACCTCTCTTCTCTTCTTTTTAATATACATACTTTTCTCTCGTTGGAACCACTACAACCTCTTTCTCTTAAATATATATATATATAAATAAAAAGAAAGAACAGTAAGATATAAAATCCGGTGTTCTTATAGATATTTTTATTTTTACAAAATAGTGCTCAATGTAAATTTACAGAGCATTAATATTATAAATTAATTGATTTAAAATATGTTTTTTTTTCGCTACACAGTTCCAACCATGTTTCAAAAATAGAAGCTAAAAACCCCGAATTTTGAAACATGGTTGGAACTGTGTAATAAAAAAAAACCATAAAATCAATTAATTATATTATATATATATATATATATATATATATATATATATATACTACAGTCCCAAAGTTTGAGGCCACCTCTGATAATTTTTTAAATTGGCCCCAAAAGTAGTATTTTAAATAAGAGAAAATTTTTCAAACTATAAGTTTGGCAATTGATTCCATTCTTTTTCAATGACTCTAAGAGTTCTTTTTACATTTTTGGGATGAAAGGGTTTCACTCTTCTGTCAAGTACATCCCATGTTAATTCTGGAGATGGCTTCAAACTTTTGAACTGTAATATATATATATATATATATATATATATATATATATATATATATATATATAATTCAGTCCTATTATTTTATATGTCAAATTCAAATTCAGGTAAGTTTGGTTGTTAATCAAGAGGATTCTGGAAGGAATAAATGTAAAATTGGTCGGCGGAATCACTGTCAAAGCAAAAGAAAATGAAATGAACATATATATATATATATATATATATATATATATATATATATATATATATATATATATTATCTTTAAATATCAAGTTTCCACCGACGACCCACTCAGGTGTTCAGTCGGACTTGTCATCGACTCATATTGAAAAGGAAGCTAACATTCTGTCATTGATATCTTATAATCCTTTATTGTCAAATCGATTTGTCGCGTTCATACCACGAAATACTGGCATTTCGACATCAACGAAAATGGAAATTTTTACGCCTGGACGCCATTTATATTTCTGCGATAGACAGACGATAAGAGACGCCATGATTCCAGAGGTAGCACCAAATACAAAACAATAAAGAAAATGTGAATATTTGGTTTTGCTTAATAAATTCAGACGGCAATTTTTCTTTTTTTAGAATATATCAAATAACTTCTATAATATATATTGGTTCTACCTAAAATTTTAACTCAGATTTTCCTTTTGACATCTAAATTGATTGCTTAAAATTTGAAAATTTCTTTCAAATTAAAGTTGAATTATTGAAGTTTATATGAGTTGCTTTATAACTTCAGACAGGGTGCATGTGTTATGTCTTTCTGGGACAGG